AATAGATCTCATAGCAATTCAGGATGGATACATTTCAAATCAAACCAAAGTATGATTAATATGATTAACAAAGAAAAACAAAAACACTTTTTGGTTTTTTTTTCCAATATTTTTGTATTTTTTAAATAACATATAAACAGAAAAACATGCACAAACATGCAACAATAAAGAAAAAATAAAGCATTTACCATAAATTATAAAAAGAATGTCAAACTTTACATCAAATATTTTTTTTTTTTTTTTGGGGTATTCAATTTCTATTGTTTTTAGTTTTTCTTATAAGAAAACAAAGCAAAAATAAACAAATAAAAATATATATAATGTATGACTCTAGGGTGTTTGATGCATTGCATGAATGATACACTTAGGTCCATACTATTCACTTCACCTACTTCTTAGGTGACTTGACCTTGTTGGAAACACTCAGGGCGTCCAACTTGGTTGAGACGATGAGCCTCTCAAAGTCCTCTAAAGTCATCCAAACTTGTTTTCTCTTCCAAAAAGTCGGGTTTGGTTTAAGAATGAGCGGAGGACAACTAACTCTCTTTTCTCCAGATATATGTAGATCAATCTTGACATTGGGAGTGGAAGGAGTTTTATGCACTCCAACATGTGGTCCTTTGGATGATAATGCATGACTATGGTTGGATTCACTTGACCTTTCCAAAAGCTTAAAAAAATTCATGACTTGGTTGTTTAAACCCTTGGATTGGTTAGCTAGATGCAAGAAATTTTTGTTTAAGACATCTCTATCTTTCATGCAATGTCTACTATGATGATAATGTTCTCCACAAATAAAATACAAATCATGATTGGCTTGGATTTTCTTAATAACCGGCTTCTTTAAGTTCTTACCCATACCATTTTTAGTCTTTGATGGACTAGTGTTCACTCGTGGGGGTGATCAGTTGGGATTATTCTTCATAAACACGATCATGAAAGAAGTGTTGGTGGTGTTCATGTGTGCAGCCTAGACCACGCTTGTCACCTATGCTTTTTCTCATAGACAACATTTTATCAAGCTTTTCATTGCTTAGGAGTAGTATTTTAGAGAGTTTATTTCATTCATGAAGATCTTTATCTAGTTTAACACATTTAGACTTAAGAATCCTCTTTGACTTTACAAGCTCATGACACACTCTCTATAGGAAACTCACTCCATCAAGAAGAGACTCATTCTTTTCTTCAAACCCACAAATTTGAGCTTTAGACTTGACTTCATTTGTAGTATTTTTCTCTGCTCTTCACTCAATTTTACCCGGCCACTCAAGGCAAACACTTTCTTTCGATGTTTGAGGAATTGCTCATACAATTGATCATAAACATTATGTATACCCTCAAAACACGTTTTTACCATAAGAAATGTAATTTATAACTTGTTTATCCGACATTGAAAGGGTAAATAAATTTCATAGGAAAATAGAGTGGTGGCATTATTTAAAACAATTGTAGTACGAAATAAACTGGCAAGTGATGCCCTTGCAACTTGGGACCTTTTTTGACTACTGTATTAATCTTCGTTTCCTTCTTCCTTTTCTTACAATATGGCCATTGGTTACACAAGGAAGGTAGACCTAAGTATGGCATGCATTACGAGAAGTCCTCAAATCATAAGTCAAATATTTATCATTTAACGGGATTAAAATGCAGATTGGAGAGAGAGAGAGAGAGAGAGAGATTGCCTAATTTTCGATCTTGTAAGGTGGTGAAAATATGGGTTTCATTGTTCAACCATAAATGACCAATCTTTTGCATCAACAACTAATGTTCCCAAATCATTTTACCACCCTGCAGACTCTTGCTTATTATGCCAGTTCTCCAGTAATATATCTAGAATTTTCAGTTTTATTAAAAAAAAATTCATTCAAGCTCCATTTTACCTCTGCACTAACGAGTTGCCTTAGCCCCTCGTTGTCGAAGAAATATACTATAATAGATAGCAATGTACTAGCCCTCTTTGAACTTCAAATTTTCATTCATCATTTCTTAAATTTTTTATTTTTTTAGATTTTTAAAAATCTTATGTGGCACCTTTCTAATGGTGGGTCTGTTATTTACTCTTAACAATAATATCTTAATTCTTTATTTTTCTTTTTTTTTAATTATGTGAACTCTTACTTGGTGTATTCGTATTGGTCCATTCTTCAATCCTAATTTACGTATAATTAAGATTACTCATTTTTGGTAATTATCCCTAATCGTTACATTACCTCTATCCCTCCTAATTTATTTATCTATATTACTTATAAATGTCAGCATCTACGAAAAATTTTTGATTTCTTATTTCACCCCTAATTATTATATTAAAAACAATTATGCCCACACAATATTAGCTAGATAAATTTTATCTCTATGACTTTCAAATTTTTTGTTGGATAAACTTTATCACTAATATTCAAAATTTTTGCAAGATATTCCAAAGTTTTTGCAAGATAAATTTTATAACTATATATTAGTTAGATAAAATTAGATAGATAAACTTTATCTTTATGACTTCTAAATTTTTTGCTAGATAAACTTTATCACTAATATTCCAATTTTTTTGCAAGATAAATTTTATCACTATATATTATCTCTATGACTGCCAAATTTTTTGTTGGATAAACTTTATCACTAATATTCTAAAATTTTTGCAAGACAAATTTTATCACTATATATTAGTTAGATAAAATTTATCTCCTCTATGACTTGCCAATACATTTTTTTTTCCATTCAATTCGATAAATTCAATTATAATTCTAATATGATATGAAAAAAAAATTACTATTTTTTAAAATATAAACACAACCATTGAAAATTCATTATTTATAATTATATAGTAAAAGATTAGAAAAGTAAAGAATTAAACTCATATATTTTTCTTTCTTTCATACCTATTAGACTTTCAAAATATTTTGAAAAACTTTATTTTTTCTATTTCACTCCTAGTTATTACATTAAAGACAATTATGTTCACAAAATATTAGTTAGATAAACATTATCTCTATTGACTTCCAAATTTTTTGCTGGATAAACATTATCACCAATATTTCAAAATTTTATCACTATATATTAGATAAAATTAGTTAGATAAATTTTAGATAAATTTTATCTCTATGACTTCCAAATTTTTTGTTGAATAAACTTTATTATTAATATTCTAAAATTTTTGCAAGATAAATTTTATCACTATATATTAGTTAGATAAAATTTATCTCCACTATGACTTGCCAGTACATGATAAATTCAATTATAATTCTAATATGATGTGAAAAAAAAATTACAATTTTTTAGGATATAAACACAATCATCGAAAATTCATTATTTATTATTATATAATAAAATATTAGAAGAGTAAAAAGTTAAACTCATATATTTTTCTTTCTTTCATACGTATTAGACTTCCAAATTATTTTGAACAATTTTATTTTTCCTATTTCACCCCTACTTATCACACCAGAGACAATTATGCTCACAAAAAACTTTAGCTCTATTATTTTCAATTTTTTTGCTGGATAAACTTTATCACTAATATTCCAAAATTTTTGCTAGATAAATTTTATCACTATATATTAGTTAGATAACATTTATCTCTATGACTTTCAAAATTTTTACTAGATAAATTTTATCACTAAGACTTGTCAGTACATTCTTCTTTTCTATTCAATTCGACAAATTCAACTAGAATTCTAACATGATGCAAAAAAAAAAAAATTCTATTTTTTAGGTAATAAATACAACCGTCAAAAATTAATTAGAAGAGTAAAGAACTAAACCCATATATTTTTATTTCTTTCATACCTATTAGACTTCCAAAATATTTTGAACAACTTTATTAGAAATATATATAGGTAGATATAGAAAGATAGATCTATATATTTCCAATAACTTCATTAACATTTTTGGTCTTATATCTCTGCAAGGTCGACGATGCTTGATGTTGTCAACCTATGAGCTTTTTCTTTTTCTTTGTCAGAACAATGCGTATTGTTGGTATGATATTTTTTTTACTTTGTTTTCCATCTATTTGGGTATGGCTATTACATAAATGCTCTATTTACCTTACAACAATTTTTGTAATTGGAACTAAAATTAATTTGTGTTCAATTAAATTGGTGTTCCCATCAAAATGATAATGAACGCCCAAAAAAAAGTACCTTTCATGGAATGAAGAACTTAATCTGTTAAACTAATCTCCTAATATGTAATTGTTTATTATTAGTAGACTTGTAATGTTTTAGGAGTTATCATACTATAAGTAGAATTAGTTTTGTTACTTAGACTTCTTGAATTCATAGACTTATAGTGTTTTAGGAGTTATCATACTATGAGTAGAATTAGTTTTGTTACTTAGACTTCTTGAATTCATGTGTTGGTGGAATAGTTTTATATTAATAAATTATATTTAAGAGTTTTCTTAGTCTTATGTTGTAGTGCCAAAAATTTTTATTGGATTCAAGAAGCCATTGAATTCATATATCAACATTCTTTTATTTCGTCAACTTAGTACACTTCGTATTTTTAAAAAATATAATCTAAATTTTATGATCTAACGTGTACATTACTAATATACTTAAGTTTAGCTAACTATCCCTCGTCGTGCAGGACCTTCATCCTTTTTAAATGTTTTCTTTATTGACTAAAAACATCTCCATTTTTAATTTTTTTTTAAATTCAAAATTTAAATTTGAATTAAAAATTCCAAAAAGCCTTTTTCCAATATTATACTTAAACTCATACTAAATTAAAGAAGATTCAAATTTTACTCAAATAAAAGACTCCAACATTTACTTAAAACATCAATCCTTAAATTATATTTTCTTTTAAAAATCTAATAATCATATTCTATCCTACTTTAATTTGAATTTATTCATTTTTAACTTTAAATTTCTTCATTGACGTATTTATATCAAATTAAACAATGCTCTAATAGATTTTTATGGTTGCAATTCAAATTAGTATTAAGCCACATAACTAATATTCTGACAATGAAGACTACTTCTGCTAAGTACAACCGTGAATTATTGTCAATTGTCCATGCGTAGTATGGGTTACCACTAGCCCTTCACTAGAGGAGTGTTAACTCGAGTATTTTAAGGGAAATAAAATTATATTTCAACTCATTAAAAGAAAAAAGAACTTTTGAAGGCATTACAAGGTGGAACAAATGAGAGGAAATTTAGAAGTCAAAGGGACTCTTGTGCCCAAAACTACAACAAAACAAGGTACAGGCACAATTTGACAAGATGCACCAGGAACAAAGCATAAAGGTTAGGGCCAAAACTTAGAAACTCTCACTTTCATTCGATGTTAATAGTAGCCGGTGACCTTATTAACCTCTGGTTCTGCGAACTCAAACATGATTGGAATTATGATTGGACTCCTCTGAGGATTTCAGGTACCACTGACTGAGCCGTTCTGCAGCTTTGGCCACCTGTGAGAATTAAAAAAAAAAAAAAGAAAAGAAAAGACCTTTGTAATCAAACAGTGTGTAGACCTTGTAAAGTATGAGCAAGCCAATCATTTAGAAAGAAAAAAAAATTGTATTCGCTTGTGTTCATAAGTTAATGCCTCCTTCCACTAACCTGTTCATTCCAATCAGTTCTCCAAGTCAGGAAGCAAAGTGTAAGCGACTGGGTTACCACCCCGCAGATCATTCCAATCCATATACCCTGTAAATCAAGACAAAATTTCAGCACGACTAGGACAAATGTAGAACCACAGGCACATAAATCCAATTCTAAGGCGACACAAGTATTATCACATAGGCACACTTCTTCCAAGTCCATGATAATGCGTTAGACTACAATATTCTAATGTTAAGACAAAGATGAGAAGAAAGAGGGGGAAAGAACCGAGAGAAGAGAAGAAATATTTTGTGAAGGATAGTGTGTTAAATTACACTGCCACAGCCATACTATAAATAAACATGGAATGACATGAAGTACAGATGTACCCCTTAACAAAAATTTAGAATGACACAACAAAATGCTTTATAAGAAAGCTCCGAAGGAAAGAAATATAAATTACATCTCAATCAAAATGGTTCCGTTTTATCTCTCCATTGAAGAGTGCAATGTTTGACNAAGCTCCGAAGGAAAGAAATATAAATTACATCTCAATCAAAATGGTTCCGTTTTATCTCTCCATTGAAGAGTGCAATGTTTGACATAAAAACTAATGACCACCAAACTTGGTACCTAATGTGAGACTGTCCCAATGCAAGGAAGATTTAAAATTTCAATAATTATATAATTGAGGCATCACCTTTACTTGAAGATTAGCCACATATCCAAGCAAACCTCCAACCGGAATCCCAATCAAGTAAAAGCAACAAAGATTGACAATTGCAACCGTACTTTGCATTCCTGCCCCTACTGCCACCCCTGCAAGAAAGATTTTAAGGGTCTAAACATTAAGCTTAAAAAAATATAGCAATAAGGAGAGCTGTTACAGAATGTCTACATTTGTCACGTGCATTTTCACAATTTAGTTAGCAGGAAATTGATTTTTCAAATTGTACAGGCCAAATATATACACACGCTTATAAAATTTGAAAAACAAGGGAATTATAATACCATGAAATTTGTTACTTGCCTGAAAGTACTGGATAAACGCTATTGAGCAATATCGAGAAAGCAAGGAGAAGGGAAAGATCTGATACTGTCTCTGCCACCTTATTATCACTTGTAAACAAGTATCCAATTTTGTTACCAAAGGCTAAGCAAAGAATCCAGAAGAATACTCCTATTATGACTGAAGTACTCAATAAAACTTTAATGGAAAATTTTGCAGCTTTGGCATCTCCTCTCCCTAATTCATTTGCAATTCGCACACTGTTAACAACAAATAAACAAAAAAAAAAAAGAGGAGTTATGATGCATAATGGCCTCTGAATTATCAATGCGAAAATACTGGAGATGGTTCTAGAAACTACTGACATACCATGCGGCACCTAGGAAGCCAAGGCTTATCATAAATTCCCATGCATTGATATTGAGGCTGCATAGTAGTTGCTATAAATATCAATTTTCAGACCATAGCAAAATGCAAAAGAAGGAACTGAAACAATCCTTACCAAATAGAGAAGGCAGATATAGCAACCTCTGCATTTTGCATGTAGCCCGCCAGTAAGACTAAAACAGCATTGTACCATAACTCTAAGCTACAAAACGAGCAAAAAGCTAGTTGACTGTGAAAAATTCATGGTAGAAGCAAATTAACCATCATAGGATACAAGTGATTACTGCTGCTTCCACAAATAAAAGCAATAATTTCAATTTCTTTGAAGGCATATGATTTTAGGGAAACCCAAGGGTCGGGGGGTGGGGCTGGGGCTGGGGCTGGTTAAGGACACAAATTCCCAATACAACTGTTATAGTGTAGTGCAAAAAGTTCTGTTTTCAGAATTTTGAACGTTTTGCTTTGATCACCAATTTGCCATAAATGACTGGCAAAAACATAATCTCAATGACAAAATCCCAATCCCAAAGTAAACTGGCTCCTCCAATTGTCTTGAATTAGGTTTNGCAAAAACATAATCTCAATGACAAAATCCCAATCCCAAAGTAAACTGGCTCCTCCAATTGTCTTGAATTAGGTTTCTATTAGCTTGACAACAATTTTATGTTTTTAAATAAAAGGAAGGTATAACATTTCCTTTATCATGATCAGTTTGCTACTAAATCTAAAACATAAGTTGTACTAACAAGTGAATGCCTAAATTATATGCATTGAAACAAAATAAATAAATAAACAACAATAAAAGACTGAACAGAGCATAAAAATGTCCTATGGTGAGCTTGATTTTTTCATCAAACAGAAGAAGCAGAGACGTCAAGAAAAATACTGGGATGGAAGGACTTTTGGCAGAAGGAGCCCAGTAGAGTATCCCTATGTCATTTTTTTCAATCCACCAAATAGACTTCATGCCTTTAGATGTAACAGAAATTTTTTCGTGGACTATCTTCTTTTGAATATNTTTCATGCCTTTAGATGTAACAGAAATTTTTTCGTGGACTATCTTCTTTTGAATATCATTAGTTTTTTTTAAAAATTGTTCCCTGAAATGATTATGAACTATGAAAGTTTCTTATGTGACAGCAATTAAATGGATAAAAAGGGACCGGGATGCCAAAGGGATAGGAGGTGGGATATCAGACTTGTTGACAGCAACAAGATAAGCTTTTCATTCAAGCAAATTCGATTAGCCTGTTATACACACACATACATAGTGGGGGCTGCATTTGTAGGTCAAATTTTTATGGCTGATGCAGTATTTTTTTTGTCAAAGTGATGCATTTAATCAAACCCTTCACAAGCAAAACAGTGAAATCCTGATTTGATATTGGGAAATTATTCGAATACACATCCCATAAAGTATGCAAACAGGGTGCACACCCTGCCTTAAACTTCATCATCACATCTAAACAGTAGAACAATAAACAATCATCCTTTTTCTTTGGTATTTGGTCATTTAAATCTGTGGTTTTTTTGAGTCTCAAAAAAAAAAAAATTGTTGGTTTCTCGTTAGGTGTATAAATATGATAGATGATTCAGGTATTTAAAATGTTAAATGAAGGATGGAGCATATGACATCGCATCACATTGATCATATATAGATGTTAAATGTTTCAGGCATTTAAATGAAGAACGCAAAGACTTACCAAACCATCACACCAGAGGATACTGAAAGCTTCACCACAGGCCATAGATCCTTGAAGGCATCTTTCGTGAAACCTTTCCATGTGTTTGGACACCAACCTCCAAAGATATAAATGAACTCACCAAATACCAAGAACCAAGAAGATATGCACAATGCACCCATTGCACCATTGAGGCCCCAGTTCAGCTTGTACACAAAGAGCCATGACACAGGAACATGGATTACAAGTTGGGCAATGGATAACCATGCAATAATCATGTTCTTCAACTGTGCTTGTAGAAACATTTGGATGGTCAAGCTGAAAACAAAATTGTAGCAAAAGGGAATGAACCACAGAGAGATATATCCACCCGCTCTTGCTATTGTATCTTCCTCACCAAGTAGTTTAAAGATGGGTGTTGCAAAGAGGAAACAAGGGAGCAAGATCGTCAACGTAATGAAGTCGACAATCCATGACCGTTGCAAGTAAATACCCATCATGTGGTGTTGCCCTGCTCCAAATGCTTGCCCACAAAGAGTTTCAGTTGCACTCGACATCCCCAGCTGCAACAAGAAATAGATAAAAAAATGAAAAAGAAAGATTGAAAAAGTAAACAGGTTAGAATACATTAGACGACATCATTGATAGAATTGTTTACTAAAAGCTTATTTTTTGTAGTGAAACTTATTTTATTAATTAATAGAAGTTTGTTTTTTCCATTTTATTGAGAATCTATGTGGACAAAATGTTTGCATTATATTTAATATATGGCATACGTGTGTGTCTTGTATTTTACATTATAGATAATCTGGTGTTTAGAGTTCAGTTTATGCACAGAAGACCGGATTATCGAATCCTTTTATAATATGAGTATAGGTTCTTAATTTTAGATGGAATTGCTGTGGTAGTCATACTAACATCATATTATAAGACTGTGTTAGACAGTATTAACATGGAGACTGTTTGATGTCTCAGATTATTGCACTAGTACACTTTGTGTATTAAACAAACTCATGTTGAAATNAATACACTTTGTGTATTAAACAGACTCATGTTGAAATTATTATCTTTTACTGATTCAATAAAATAATAAATATCCCATGATTATTATGATTGATTATACTCTTAATCTCAAAATATTTAATTGCCACGTGCATATAATATTTGTCACTTTAATTCATCAAATAGTGAAATTTATATTGAATCAATAAAATCGATAAATTGAGAGAGTATTATTTGTATGGTAGAAATTAATTATTAAAAGAAACCATGTCTTTGAATTTAAATGGGTCGATAATGTTCTCTTGAGAAAACTCATAAGTTTTGTCCATGTCAAACCCTTTAGGTGGATTTAATTATCCGACATGACAAATAAGTTGAGTGATAAGTTCTCAAGAAATAAAAGAATCAATTAAATATAATTGTCAGTAATTTATTTAATTGATGAACATCTTTAATCTTAAACATGGGAAGATTATTAAACATATAATAATAAAGAGCTTAAATATAATTTTAATATAAGGCTCAAGAGATCAATAATAAATTTTTAGTGGACCAATTTATTATTAACGGGTTGTAGGATGTTTATTCTGGGTTGAACATAGGAATTTTAGACCCATTGAAAGCCCGGTCATTATTTCTCCTTAAGGTTTCTGTTGTAACCTATATATAAACGTCTAGGCTCCTTAATCAACATCAATTCATTACTCATGTTTTGAGAAAGGCTTAGAGAGAGAGAGCAGAAATTCAGATGTTCCTGTAGTCCACATTGCATCCAGATTTTTTGCGTTTGAGGACATACGACAGAAGATCGTGAGATTCAACAAGCTAACTTCTGCGTTTGTCTTCCGTTTTTTGCGTTCATGCTGAGACGAGATCAAACCACAACGATCTCGAAGGAAAACCCTAATTCTGCCTTATAGGATTTTAAAGAAAAACTTTTGTATCCATTACATACACGCTATTAATGATTCTTGAGATTTTCGTTCCAACAACAAATGCTTAGTTACTTCAAGGCTATGAGATCTAAAATATGCACATAAGAGGTTGGTCTAAAATGCAACCTTAGGCTCAAATGGTTAGAAAGCACTTGAAAAGATCAATGACCCATTTACTTTCACTACTAATCAGACCGCATATCCTAACAATAAAGATGAATGCCTTTAATTTTTGCCCTGGGCTTCCAAAATTTACAGAAACAAAATATTTCTTACACATTTCAATTATTCAAAAATAAGTATTCACATCTACTAACCACATTCATACATGACAAATAGAAGGCTAAAATAAATACCAGAAACAGCTCGACCATCTTTAATCCCTATCTATGAAACACGAACACTCTTGAGAAGGTGGCGTATCCGTATCGGACACTAACACTCTTCGGACACTCTCGAATAAATGTCCGATATTCTCTTATCCGTGTCCATAATTAAATAATAAAATTTTAATTTCGAACACGTATCCAACACTTCTATGGTGAAATGTTTGACACTTCTTTAGAACTTGTCTACTACTAAACAATAAATATGTGTTGAAATGTGATTAACAAAGCTTAAAAATTTGAGAACATATAATTACCATCACTAGACATATTAAAGTTGTACTCTAAATATAATAAAAAAAATAAAAGATACATAAAAATTTTAAAAAAGAGTAATTGAGATAATGAGAACAATTATTTAAATTATATATTAAGTACACATTGTCTACAAAAAAAATTGATGATTATTGACTATTAAGATGCTTTAGTCGAAAAATTCGCATAGATGATTAGACATAAGATTTACTTATCATAAAATACTGTATCTTTTATGAATTGTATATCATTATCGCTATATTTGCAATAAATTATATAATGTGATATATAAAATATAATTTTTTGTAACGTATCACCAACGTATCCATATCCTACTTGTTTTAAAAATGTCGTATCGACATGTCCGTAGCGTGTCGTATCCGTGTCTCGTGTCCGTATCTGTGTTCATACTCCTTATATCCCTATTGATGTCACTACCTTTTGCCACCCACAACAGCTACAGCAGTCCCCGCAGTTCAATTTTGTATCTCACTTAAATTAGAACAGCCACAACCATCAGTTCACTACCAATGGTAATGTTGTTACTGTTTGTCATCACTGCATTACCTCTACCACCAACAATACAGCCCACATATGTCTCACCTACCAAAACTGGTGCTACCACCAAAACTGGCATAACCACTATGTATTCCTCTATCCACATGCATTCACAGAAATTACCATCATTGATGATGTGACCACTATTTTCTCTGGTGCCATGGGCACCACAACCATGCATTTGGAAGATGGTTATACGCTATGCAACCAGGTTACGACCACCACTGCTACCATCAATTTTATAACTTTTCTTAAATCGCTAGTTATCCATATAATTTTTAAGTAAAATGGGTTTTTTTTGGTTTACATAACATGTTTGGTAGGGTGACACCTCATGTAATGCATAATATACCAATGGTTAGAGGCAGAGCCAAAAAAATTCATAAGGGTGGTCACCTTTAATTTGTTATTGATAATAGTAAAATAATATATATATATATATATATGTGTGTGTATATCAGTAAAAGTCCAAAATGCTATAAAACACAAAGAAAAAGAACGAAAAAAAAAAAAGACTAATTACAACTCTTTAAAAATGTGAGGCTAATCACAATTTTTTAATTGACCTGATGATTTTTTATAATTCGAGAACATTGCACGGTAAACTCATTATCAGTGACATTAAAAGTATCTTTTTGTACAATTCAATCATCTATTAATCATCCATTTTGCTACTCGACCACTCTTTCACAATCTTTAATTTTTGATTTCTTTTACAAGTTATCTTCTAAGATTAAATCAAGGTATCAAAATAGTAAAGTTGTTGACAGAAGGCGACAAAATGACTCGAATTTAACAATCAGCGCCAATGTGGGCTGTTGGTGTCAATGGGCTACGAAGAGAAGTCACAAGGACTGCTCCTTGTGTGCTGATGGAGAGAGGCTATGATGGGTTGATACTAGAAAACAAGGAGCTGCAGCAGAAAAGTCAAGGAGGAGGGAGGCAGCCTTTAGAAATCTGATTTTTGGGCCAAAAAAGGCATTGTCTTTAAAGGTTCTCTTATTTACAAAACTGCCATCAAAGCTCGTGCCTATAAATAGGCCTTGTATCATCCTCTTCGACAATCTGAATTTCAATCTTCATTTAGTGAGTGCACTAAGAGTTAACAAAATATTCTCTGTCCCCTTTTTTAGAGTGGTGAGATCTGAGTGGCGTGTACAAGGGTCCAAAAATAACTCAGGTTTGGGTTATAAAATTCGAGCAGCGAGGTTTGTATTGTGTACTCAATTTGTTTCAATAGTAAAGATGGTGATTCGATCACGCCTCGTGGACGTAGGTAGGAGTTTTGTCGAACCACGTAAAATATCGGTGTTCTTTCTATGTGTGGTTTGATTTAATTATTTTATTTATTTTCTCGTTATCATACTGACCAATTTGTTGCGAGTGTGGTTTGATTTAATTATTTTATTTATTTTCTCGTTATCATACTGACCAATTTGTTGCGAGTATCTCCCAACAAAAGCCATTAAACAAGAAATTGAGTAGTAAGCATAGTAATACAATCGAAATTCAACTCAAACACAATAAATTATTAGTCAAAGAAATATATAATTTTCAGTTATAGGCTAATTTCAATGCCACACTAAGAATATAAAACAAAAAACTCATAAATATGTAAAGCAAGACCAATTGAAAAGAGTTCTAAGTTCTAACACAATAATAACGACTAAACATGTATATTGACCTATCTTAAAATCGTTTTAACAAAAATAGGTACATAATAGAGTAGAGACAATAAAATATATATTTGTAATTGTTCGTATATATGTATATACATTACACTAAGAAGCTTTTGTTAATTCATTACTTGCTGCCAAGTCCAAAGATAAAAACCTGAACAAGAATTAATATACTATCAAAAATGAAAATAACTTCCTGCCTAAATTTTGTACTGAAATGGGACAGTGCTAGAAGCTTAAATATAAACTGCAGGTGAAAGCTTAATATAACAATTGATAGGTAATAAAAATCAATGCATAGTAAGCATAGGAACTTACCAGTATCCCATTCACAAACCGCACACTAAGGGTCTGTACAAGTGCATAACCAGCAAGGTCTAAGTTACTTATATGTCCAACAAATGATTGTGTCACCACAATAGTTCCAAATGCAGACACTCTAGCTAGAACACCCGGTAATGCAACCCGCCATATCTTTTTGGATTCATCCCAAACCCTCCTCTTCAAATTACCTTTATCTTCTACTTCAGATCCAAGTAGCCGCTCTTGCATTCCTTTATCCATAATTCTGTAAACCACAAGGGAAAGTTAGGTACCATTTTTGGAGAAGATTGCAAATTGCCAGTACCTTACATATGGAAAAGGAATACATTTCTGAATAATTTTATGTACACATTGTTTTCTTTTCTATTTTTTTTTAATTTGCTTTAAAAAAAGCAAGAAAAAATTCAGTATTCATTACATGTTGGATGTTCAAGTTTAGCATAATTTAGATCCTCCGGCCTCATTGTATAAAATAAAAGAAGGATAATTTCCCACGGATTTTCGTTTGACTTTAATTGGGATAAGAGCTGTCTAATAGCGCATTTTCTTGAAGAACTAAAATTTGTTTACTTCATTATAACTAATGATTCTTGACAATGCTTTGTGAACAATTACAAATATATGTTGTATTGTGTTCATTTGAGACTCATAGTGTTCATTTGGAACCTACTGACGTACTGTGTGACAGAATTGAAAGTTTACTTCAAATTAACAAAACCTGCACTGAAACTTCATCCAAAAAATATATACCCACTACTGAAAGAGTGTTTTAGAAGCAGTGTGTCACACACTGTAACTATCTTTACTATAGGGGTTTGAATAATGTGGGAGGCAGCCCTTGTATTGAGTTCTGTTGATTGTATCTTCAACCAAGTTCTTATGCATTTTCAAGTCCACTGCAAGCCGAGCAACCTATGTAAGGGTCGCCAGCTCTCCGGCCGGCTGGCCTGCCTAAGCCCGCCTTGCGTTTAGATAGTCGGGCTTTAACCAGTCAACGGGGAAGGCTAAAGCTAGCCTGCCCAGAAATATCTTAGCTGGCGCCCTGTCCAATGGGCCCTAAACGAGCTTTCAGTTTAAATTCTTAAATAAAAATATCTATTTTCACATGATTAGAAAGTTAGAAAATAAAGTAGTAAAATTGAAATTAGGGAGAGAAAAGGCTACAAACTAGGTTACCAGGCTCCCTTCAAAGTGGCAGGGTGCAAGTGTTACGATTTTCGTCAAAAACTTGGGTATCATAGTGTTCCCATAAAAAAACCAATCTAAGCTCTTCAATGCCTTGAATAAATAGTTGTTTGATCCAACCGTTAAGTTTTTGCAAAAAATTAAATCTAGCGGGCAATTGGTGGACGAATTCATTAGTCACCTCTGGCTTTAAAAGGGCACTGTATCACATGACCGATTAATATGATACAAATACGACAATAAGTTCGAGATTTGTGGTTTTTTTAAACCGCTTGTTTTATAAACAAATAAATCTAACACGATACGATTAATAAACGAATCTACACGACTAATACACAGCATGAACCTAATATGATATTATTCGTTAAAAATAAATTAACAAAGTAATCGGATACAAATAATATTTTTTTAATACAAANCACGACTAATACACAGCATGAACCTAATATGATATTATTCGTTAAAAATAAATTGACAAAGTAATCGGATACAAATAATATTTTTTTAATACAAACCTGTTAAAATTCAACACAAACCTACCCCCACCCAACCCAACACAATTGATAAACTCAGCCACCTGCATACAACCACACCATGAGCCGGGTTAGCTGGTAGCCTAATGGACCGGTGGGCTGTGGGCTATTTGCCCTATAAACCGTAGGGGGTTGAGCTTTTCTTTATGTTAAAGAGAAGAGGTGTTCAAAATTACGTCCACCCAATAACTTTTATTAGTCATATTATGACTTTTAGGATTAAGGTAAGAATTTTTTAGGATCAAATTATAATTTTTGAGATAATTAAAATTAATCCTAAATATTAAAATTAATTATTTTAATTTAAAATCAACTGTGAAATTCCAAAAAATAGCTTCTCAGATTTATCTAAATAAAAAATATTTTGTCGTCCTTGAAAAAAAAAATTGAATGTGATCCAAATTGACTCTTGTTGGCGTATCCTCGTATCCTCTAATCCGACTGTCTATTCAAATTTGTTTATAATTAATTAAATTTTTGTTTTATTTAAAACTATTAAATCTAAAAAGTCAAGCATATGAACTGCCAAGATCACTTCATATTTTTTTGGTAAGTAGGATCACACCAAAATTTTCTATTGTTTTTATAGAAAATCCCAATGTTATCAACGGACATATGGGGCCACAGCCAAAAGTTTGGTAAAAACAATCGATGCCACACTTGTTTGTAAAATACAAACTTACCCATAAACTTTAATAATATTTCACTCGGGGCACTCTGCATGTTTTAGCTGCCCCCACCGTTGATTCACCCTGGTCAGAACTATTTGCTAGAAACCAATAAAATATTCCAAACTCTTCTATTTCAACAAAATATTTGAACTCTTTTTCAATTGAATATTCAAAACTCGGCAATCCCCGCCAGGCCACTGGCCACTGGCCACCACTCCGCGCCAGCCGCTTTCCACACCCCTTTTTCTTCCGGTAGGTAAAGAGCCACGTCAAACCACTAATTTAGATGTGACGTCACATTCATTCTTTGTCAGCCAAAGTTGACTATCATTACCAAGCACGTGATGTGATGAATTCGGTCNCACTAATTTAGATGTGACGTCACATTCATTCTTTGTCAGCCAAAGTTGACTATCACTACCAAGCACGTGATGTGATGAATTCGGTCTGAATCCTATCCTATCTTAAACTTTTTTTTAAGGGGCATGCCCTCAACTTTTTAAAATTATACATACNTAAACTTTTTTTTAAGGGGCATGCCCTCAACTTTTTAAAATTATACATACATTATATTTTATACTATTGAACCACTAACTATTATCATATCAAAGTTAAATAGAAAAACATAAATTTCAATTCGATTAATTTATAGTCATTAATTATAAAAAATAATAATAATAAAATATAATATCAAATTTGTTATTAAATAAAAATAAAAAAAAACTATTTTTCAATATAGTAACTAAATCCTAAGAAAAAAGGCCGTAACTTTTACTACTCGATGAGAAAGAAAAATTATTTTTTTTATTATTCAAAAGTTAAGGATATTCAAACTATTTTGCATGGTCCAAAAAAAATCATTTACGCAGAGATTAGAATATTCACAAGAAAAAAATCTTTCATAATTTAACATCAAGGAACTATCAAGATTTAAATACAAGATGTCTAGATTTACAATTGATCTTTATTACCAATTGAATTACTCTTAGAGGTTGCAGGACCCTAAAATCTCATGTTTAGAATGAAAATTCAATACTGAGTTTCCAAACTTGATCTATAACTAGCTCGAATATTAAATTTTTGATCATGGATTTTGTCAAACTTAGGGAGAAGGTGTGTTTGAGAAGATAAATTAAGAAATTAAAGATGTAAAAGACAGTTGTACCCCTTAACACCCCTTAACATGAATATGAATTAAATTAATCACGGATAAAATAGTCATTTATAAGATAAATAGTTCTTAATAATTATGATATATCCGTACATTATACATATGTGCGTTGCATACCAAACATAGTTATAGACCGAATTCAATGTTGAATCTCATCTTTGTAAAAATGAGTTTGAGTTTGAGAGAGTTTAAAAAAGTCAATCTAAATTCTCCCCCAAAATCTATCCAAACAAGTCCCTTAATTGAAAGAATAACTATTGACACTCTTCCTACAATTAACTTCATTTAAAAAATTAAGTTTTTTTCATAAAATCAATTTGTTTTTGAAAAATTAAATTATTTTCTAAAACAATTTAACGACATTAATTCCCACACTAAATTACCGACAATAATAAAACACTAAATATAAGATTGTTTGAAATTCGGGTATCTTATTACTAGGAATGAGATACTCATTTTTAATTAAGATTAATGTGATTCAAACATGCCATTAAGGTAATCTAGACGTGTCCAAACAAATTTAAATACCCAACAACCAAGGGAATGCTTGAACTGAAAATAATTGATTTAACATTTGTGACATTTTATTAAGTTTCTTATTATTCATATTTATTTACACAGTTGACCTGATATCATGGGG